GAAGAAGAAGAAGAAGAAGACGATGATGGTTCCAGGTCCGGTGCAGACAGTCAGCATGGAGGTCCAGCAAGAGGAGACAGGAGTTTGCACAGTGTCAGGTGAGTAGAGCGCAGATCTGTTGAACTGTATTAGTTAACACAGTGCCACTTTGTTCTCGCTGGATGGATGGATACACTGGTGATGGGGGGGGGGGGTGAAGCTGCGTGAAGCTTTAGGGCTTCTTTTTATTTGTTTTGGAAGAAGATTTGTAGCTTTATATTCCTAACAAAGCCAGTACTGTGACATCAGGGGACTTCCAGAAGCTCCTCAAGACTAAGGCACAATAACACCATGTGATGTGACTTTTATTGCACACATGAGTCGCAATATGTGATTGTAGAATAGTAATGTTATTTAAATTAGCCTATGTTTCTATATTTATATTTATTTCTATATTGTCTTTGTACTGTACATTTCAGTATTTCTCAATTATCTCCTCTCTTTCTGTCCCTGACAGATTAAAAACTTTCAAAACTCGCTAACTCAATGAAGCGCCTTCTGAAGCAGCAGTGACGTTTGAAGCTTCGGACGTCACGGTGTTCTTCATTTGACACAAGCTCAGATTAAATGTATTGAAACAGTTCCCTTCACAGGAGTGCAACGACCTCTGAAGCGCCAATATCATCCATCCATCTCGAGTTTACACACAATTTAAAATTTCAAATTGACATACATAATTGCACTTCGCTGTTCATGTGGCAACAAAACAGAAACTCAGGTGTACTGGCAGCATGACAAACAGTAGAGGCAGGCAAACACATATTTCTCCTGGCTTGGCATCAAATAAAAAAAGACAACGTGAGCGTGTGTGTTTGCACGTACCTTAACTAAACATCAGTTAAACTATTTATTATGTTGCTCCACTAATATTTTGCTGCTTCAGGTATACCTTAGTGCAACTCATCCTCATAAAGAAGTGTTACCACAGGATCTGTCACAGTTTTTGGTGAACTTACCACCAATATTTTAAAGGAATAAGCACAGGCAGCAAGTAAGCCCAAGGCCCGTCACCTGTGCACGTACCCCATGTGTGTGTGAGTGCTCTACGTTGTGTGCTTTTGTGTGATTGTAATGTATTTATTTTCTTCAGCAGCATCAAGTGAGAAGAACACAAAGAGGAAGACGAGGAGGGAGAAGAAGAAATTGATGAAGAAAAATCTCAAGTCGGCTGATACTTCAGACAATTTAATGTCAGAGCTTCCGTTTTCTCTGACCAGCCCCACCACATGGAAAGAGCTAGGATGTGTGTATCTTCTTAATATGATTTTTGAATGGTTCTTTGAATTAAAAGTTAGTATTTTTTATAACCCACTGTACAAGGTTAAAGGCAGCAGGTCTGATTTACTGACCAACAAAGTTGTGCCTCCACCTATCGCAGACGTGCCAGATGTCTGTGTTATATTTTATCTGTCTGTGTAGTAAATTCATACCTTCATGATGGTACGATTTGTTGCAGGACTGTTGTATTAGACTGCAGTAGTTTACTGCAGTGTACTTCATAAAATGTCAGCAAAGTGTAGGTCACTATGATGAGCTGCCCTTTCTTTCCAGTCCCCAGCCAAGAGTCAACCCAGAGGAAGAGGAAGAGGAAGAGGGGAGACAGTGGAGGGCGAGTGGACAGTGAAGAGGATGCAGAGAAGAAGAAGAAAAAGAAAGAGAGCCAGCGGCCCAACTACTTTGTCTCCATCCCCATCACTAACACACAGGTAAAGAATTACTTTAAGGATCCCTCTGGAGTTTGTGCACATTGTACCCCATTTATTCATCACATATGATTTATTTTCAGTCAAATGATTAATTAAGTGATTCATCTTGTAATTGTTCCAGCTCTAATAGCTACCATATATAATTATATGAAATTATTTAGAAATATGAGTTTGACACAACTTTTGTGTTTGCTTGTTGTAAATTAGCTTAAAACTACAAAATGTGATCATTCAAGAAAAAAAGGTGGAGCGGGGAACTAATGTCTGACTCCTTGTGGGTTAACAATAGTGGAGAAGATAAGAGAACTTGTTTCAGACGCCCTCAAAGGGAGGAAAAGACTTTCATCTGTTCTCTCCAGACTATTGATGAATTCAGTGGTCAGTGTAGCTCAATCTTTACTTGGAGAAAATCTTTTATGGAAAAAACCTTCAAGATTCAACTGATGATTACACTGAAATCTTAATGCTTATTGACCAAAAAGCTCCTCTGATTGGACATTGATTTAACCCATGGTCGCCATCTATTGACGCCTCATCTGTGATGTTGAACTGCAGAAGTTGCCCTAGTTTCTCCTCCTTTGAACCTCCTCCTCACCACCGCCAGTTCTCGTAAGGAAAGGAGTGGTGGTGAGCATCTTACTCATTGTAACTGATGGTCAGGTCAATTTGTCCAATGACAGATCAGTTCAGCTGTGGCCGAGGTCCAAGAGACGGTGCTTCAGCAGGAGCCCCGACTGGCCAAAGCCGTGATCCCTGTCCCGACTCTCCACATCACGCTATTAGTCACTCATCTCGCCAATCAGGAGCAAGTGGATCTGTGAGTGGATGCCTGTGCCCACACAAACACAACCACACACGTCAGTCCCTGATTGGCTCAGTAATATTCATACACACTGTCACACCGCTGAAATGAAGTTACCTTTGACTTCTCAAACACAAGCTACAGTAGAACTGTGTAACATTAATAAGTCAAAAAATGGAACGATACCTGCAGTCAGTAATTGTCACTTCAGCACTTTTGGGGTGAATTTGTGAAATTTTAAATGTTATAAGCTACAATACAGTAAAATGATGCCAAACTTTTTCACAGCATTTTGACTTGCGATAGCAGGAAAAGCACAGGTGGTACTAATAACATTAACAACAATTCACAGCAGCCATTTTGTTACATTTAATAAAAGGGTAAACCCAGGTGTGGGACTAATTAAGGTTCTGTTCATTCAGGTCAAACAGAGTCAGGGTGCTGCTATTGTGCATGTTGGCTCAGTGGAAAGGCTCTGCTGCACTAAATGGAACAGAGCCTTAATTAGTATCATTGGTAACACTTTAGATAAGTTCTCATAGCATCACAATAGTTTGCACAATAGTAGTGACATCGAAACATGGGTAATTCCTTGACACAAAATGCATTGAAAGACAGTTGTATACAAAACATGACAATATCTGTGTAACTGAAGAGGAAAATCTCTCATGTAATTAGTTTATTTTTTATTTTTTGTTGTTTTTCAAAAAGCAGGATTCATGCTGATCGTTATGAACACCTTTCAGTTTTATGATTTTTCAGGTCAGCTGAGATGAAACCGTGTGTACCTAATTACTTAGAATTTAAGCCATAACACAAACAACAACAGGAACATATGTCAATAGTTAAATGCCAAATTTTATTCCTATGGCCTACTGGTGCTAGCAGATCAATAAAAGTGAGCGCAGATGACAATATATATTGCGATATGGATTTGTCCCTCCACTGATGTACACACAGTCATCCAGTATATGCACAGACAGACCCATTCTGCACATTATATTTCTACAGTGACCGATTGTGTCTAATCTGCGACAGAATCTCTCTTTTGTCCTGGTTTCTCCATTTCCCTTATTGCTCTCACAGGATATAACCCACACTACAGCTAAAATGCTGAACTTCAATCAAACAGAGTACCTCTCAAATTAGTTTACTGTCAGCAATCATGTTTTCTCATGCTCTCCCGTTCAGCCTCTGTGATGACAATATCACAACATCAGATGGATCAGATAGCCCAACAAAGCTTGTGTTTGTTGCAGTAGTGGACGTACAGACTAATGTTACAGCTTGAAGACAGGGATGCGGCGTTCTGTAGTGACTAATTACACAGCATTCCCGTTAGATACTGCTTATCTCTTCGTCTCAGCACTTCCAGGAAAACTAGTTGGAAGGTCTCTCAATAATGGGCCTTAATAATTTTACATTTGATGTAAATGGTTATATTGTCCCACTTAAGTTAATCGTCATTGTTTTTATTTGTAGTGGTACAATAGGCCCACCTAATGACAGACATTGTCAGACTAGTATTATAGATGAGGAAAAAAATGCTACCAAGTTACCATCCTAACATTTCATCAGAAAGTGCTTGGATATGACCAGAGCTTTTTCATGTCATCACCCAATGCAGCAGCGGAACTGATTTTTAATCTACATCTAGCAGAAGATTGTGTCATTAATAATGACTAGATTATGTAATATGAGAGGAAGAGAGAGAGGGGGGATTAAGTCATGAATTGGTGTATGTGTGTGTGTGTGTTGTGCATATTCATGTGTATATTTCCTTTTAGGGCGGCAACCGTGCTGGCTCAGGTCAAGCCGTCATTGGTTGAGCTGCTGGGTGGGCGGGATCTGGTGCTGCCCTTCTCAGGGATCGGTCATTTCAGGAAGGAGGTGGTGTTTGTCGGACTGGCCCCCGGACAGCAGAGACACACACTGGACAGTCTGGCAGGTCAGTGGCCGATTTTAGCTTTTCACTCTTTGTCATTTTGTCCTTTCTGTCTCCTTCTGTCCTCATCAACACTTCTGTAATTATTGAATTCCATTTTTGTTCATCTCACAGTTTTGTAAGGGCTTCTCATGCTGGGGATACATTTCATTAGAGGATGATAATATGATACAGTAGCTTCTCTTTTGTGTCCCAGTGGAGGGACATGTGAACTTGGTGGTCAGCTGAGGAGCCGTGCAGCTGATTGTAGGATTTGTTGTCTTTCTGAAAGACACTTTCACTGGATGGATGGCTGCTGTCTTTGTAATGGGAAGTCACAGATTAGACCTAAGGGATTGTAGGATATATTCTGGGGAGTTGTTATTGGTAAGATGACAGGGCTAACTCTCACACTCTCGATTGTAGGTGATCGAAGTCTGACTTTTGTTCTGAAGTGAACTGGAGAGCAGGTTAAACAGTAGAATTCTAGAAATAAATGGCAAATGTGCCAAAAGTTGGATGGGCATTCCTGTGGAAGCCCAGTTACATTATGCCATTAGGCCCTGCAGTGGGACCATGCACTACATGTAGTATGTAAAAATGTGGTTTTGATTTAAAAATAAAACCCATAAAAACATATATCTAGTTACTCAATAGCTGATCACTTGCACACTGATTTGATATTCAGTGCAACCACATCCTGTTTCTTAAACCATCAAACTGGATTTGGTCAAATAAAATAGTATTTGTGTGATTTTCTGTGTCCCATCTGTCTTTCTTTCCTTTCTGTTCCCTGCAATCTGTGTGTGTGTGTGTGTGTGTGTGTGTAGCCAGGTCTGCACATTTGATATGTCTTCATTTATTTTCTTATATTTGTCCTTTTGCATCTTTGTGCATGTGTGGGAGTGTGTGCAGAAGCATTTGCGTGTATGTTTTTGTGTTGGCAACAACATTAAGCCAACATTTCTAAGAGGATTCCGGCTCCATTGCTCTTGCAACACCAACACACACGTACACAAAGTAAATGAGCTCACATAAGCTTAATACGGTCCATTCCCACTCTAAATATCCGAAAAATATGCAGTGATTTCTAAAATGACACACATGCATTTATCACAACAGGAAATGAGGGACTTCTTGCTGATTAATGTGTACGTGATCCAGAAGGTGCTGATGCTTTGTGTCCAGCTCTGGAAGACCTATGTGATACATGTATATAGTATTGGAGCAGCATGTTTGGATTCTGCTTTCCTAGCAGCTCATTCAGTTTATTAACTGCTCAGATCCGAGTAAATATCACATTTGACATATTAGTGATGGCCAAGCTGACACGAATCTCAAAAGTCATTTAATCTTAGGGCTTGATATAAATGCAATAAATCAATCTTTTTAGAGAGATGGAGCCACAAGAGTCCAGGTTCTACATAATTACCTCAGCTTATCTTAAAAAGTTAATTGGAGTTGCATGAAATGTTTGTCAGTGAGGAAATGAGGAAGTAGCGATGAGATTTTCATACTAAATGAGCAGAAGAGGGCGTGGTAGTGATGCAGGGGGTGACATATATGACACGCAGCATCAAATTTTAAAAATATGCACAAACCGTGCATATTAGCTGACATAAAAAGAGGCAGACCCTCCCTAATTGACCAAGTCATACACAACCAACACTAACCGTTAAATGTGGGCTTCAGCAATTGTGAAGTGTGTTGAGAAAGTTTCATTAGTTTTGCTTAATTACTCATTTAGTCTTGACGTTTGGGTGGTGAAGTGTGGCACTAGTTAGGCTTTAAAACGGGCAAAAACAAAGTAACACTGCAGGTCAGCACTTGTCGAACACGCTAGGAGGTTGGAGTGTCCAAGAGGAGCCCGGTTATCTCCTTAAAATAATAAAATACATATCTGCATCGAAAAACAGCAAACGAGTCAGATCCATATACTTACTGTATAAATGAACATTTATGAAAATTTTTTGGCAAGTAATGATTTTTTTCGTTGCAGATTAACCCACCAATCATTTTCTTGAGTCAGTTGTTTGGTCCGTAAAATGTCCGAAAATGGTGGAAAATGTTGGTCACTGTTTCCCGAAGCCCAAGGTGACGTCCTCAAATGTCTTGTTTTGTCCACAAATCAAAGATATTCATATTTCTTTAAATAATAGTTGGCAGTTAATTTAATACTTAACAACTAATTGATAGCATGGATCCACTAATCATTGCAGCTATCCACTTACCTTACAGTATGCCGTTACTTCTCCCTACAAAATTAAGTATTCAAACTCATTTTGCTTGCTGTGATACCTAACACAGTAGTTCTGACCCCTTGCTAATGCACTTTATACAATGATTAGAAAGGCCTTGCCTCAGTGTAGTTAGTGTATAGTTCTTAAACTGTGTTCTAAGTATTACCTTGTATATCTATTAAGTGTTTAGAAGTGAAGGACAGTAGTGGCTTTGGAGTGTAGTATAATAAGTATTGATATTCATTACTTCATAAGTAACTGTGCCAAGTAGTTTTATCCATTCACAGAGTTTTATTTATATTCCTGACACGAAAAATGAAACGGCAGCAACAGAAGATAACACATAGAAAGTCCATGTTTTTATTGTTGGCAAAGCAAAATAAGGATAAGGCAGGAAGTCAGCCTCTCCAGTCCTCTTGTCTGCTCCCTCCACCACCGTTATTGATTATCTACTAACCTTTCCCTCTATGTAAGGCTCCACGTCTAAAAATACCTCTGTGGTTTCCCTCTTAACCTCATCAGTTGGCGTGTGCGTCTTTTGTCCCTGTGTGTCTGTCCTTGCAGGTTGTCTGTGTGTTCGTGCCCTCATCTGTCTTCATGTGCGTGGTCAAATGTTACGCGAGCAAAAAGCTTTTTGTTCCATCTTTTGAAACACATTCTCTGCCATCTGTGTCTGCACTGTTTGTGTCCTCCGTTCTGGCTTTTACAAAAGTCCATAAAGAGGATTTGAGATGGTTCATTGGGAGGACATAGAGGTGGATGTACCGCATACGCATTTCTGCTTTCTTTAAATGATAACATTATGAACTGACGGCCTTTCTCTTTGGCCTTAGTAAATAGTTGCTTGCTGTTGGTGTTTTTGTGTGTTGCAGAGTTGTTGCGGAGCCGTTTTGAGGAACAGGGTCTTCTACAAGGAGACAATCGTGGGTTTGAACCCCACCTAACCATTATGAAGCTGTCTAGGGCGTCAAAACTACGATCCCAGGTATACACACACACACACGTGCTTACACAAACACATTCTGGGTAGAGTTAGGTCATTACAATAGCTTATATACCTATATAGTGCGGAGTGATAGTAGCCAATATTTGATTGTAATTGGGTTTTAATTATCTTCTTCTACAAGTTTGTCATTGAAAGGGTAATTTAAGTATCATTACTAAGTGCTTTAGGTCGTGCTTAGGCCTAACTGTCTAGTGTAGAGAAAATACAGTGTCTCATTAATTAACCTTCTTTTAACTGTTTGTTTTTTCTTACACATGTGGGAGAACAGTTAGTCATTAGTAATAGTAATTCATTTTCAAACTTAAAGACCTAGTGGTGATTAAGTCATTAAAATTCAATATTATGTTCAACATCGCTGTAGTTACATAATAAATAAAAGTTAGAAAATAAAACCACAAAGTTGAACTGGCACAGCATGGTTTTATTTTTAATGAATAGTGTCAGCATAGATTTGCATTGTATTACTCACCGCAATCCTGCTTTCATACACAGTCGCAATTATATTACTTTCTTGTAACAACTGACTTTTGACAGAACTGCCAAACAGCTGCAGTGTTACTCCTCTGTCACCAACCACCATTTTTATTCCCCTTACATTCCTCTCAGTGGCTGTGAAATTAAATGTGTCATCCAATAGTTGCGCAATTATTCCTCCTGCCAAAACTACTACTGGGAACAACACGCCTGCTGTAGTATTTAAAAAGAAATTTGTATGTATATAATTTTAGAGTTTATGAACTTAAGAGAAAGGTGTATAAGGGAGTATCGGCGAGTACGCACGTCTGTGCACCAGTCCAATACCAGGTAATTTACCGGACACTGCTACTTCGCAGCACTTTTCCCCCAGGATAGCGAAGTCCTACCCTACTCTGACTTTGACGAATGGCCTAACCTGAGCCAGGCCACATAACAGTGACACCAATCATATCGGAAATCAAAAAATGGTACAGAATTGGAACTGTAGATACGAATATAAATAAGAAGATAAGGGGGTGAAGGGATGAGGGGACAGACAGAGAAGCAGTGGTCAGGAGTGGAGAGATACTTTTTTTTTTTTTTTTTCCTTTGACACCTGATGACATCTCATCCTGCCTGGCGTCTCCTGGGCGGCATTCTTGTCTTCCGTCAGTCTGTGCACATCCTTTTGAGGATGTGCACATTCATTAATAAACAATTCATATAATAAACTGCATTTTCCCTTTGTGTCTCTCAGGGTATAAAGCGTGTGGACCCAGCCCTCTACTCCAACTATACAAACAAGTAGGTTTTTAATGTAACAAATAATAGTTGTTTAGGGTCAGTACTCTACAATAAGTACTGTGACACATTGTGAAATGTATTGTCTCCATACTGCATGCTTACTGTATAATGGTATTTTAGGCAATATATAGTAACAAGAAAACAGACAATTTTGTATCATGATTTATTATAGTTTAAGACCGCATACTTTTCTTTGCACTTTAAATGTACAACAGTTTTATTTGAACAGCACCATGCTGCATAATGTTTTGTTGGCCCAGTATATTCTAATTTGGTTGTCACTTTTAATTAATTTGAGTGATTGTTGTCATCGAGTGGTTATTATGACTGACATCTGCCTTTTAATGTCTGCTGGAGGCATCAGCACACTCCTGTGTCTCGCACTATTCTAACTGTCCCTTTGTCTGTTCTCACTACCACACTCAGGTTTTTTGGAGACCAGACAGTTGAGCGAGTGGATCTTTGTTCCATGTTGAAAAAGAAGCAACAAGATGGATATTATCATACTGAGACTTCACTACAGCTTGGTTAGTACGCACAAGCATGCACAGAGCCTAATTGTGTTTGTGTGTTTGTGTAATATTGAGCCACCAGAGGGCGCCCTCTGCTCACATGCAGGACAATGACTTTCTCATACTAATTTGTTGCCATAGTTGTGCTTGCAGCAGCATATTTAGTAGTAATACATTGCAGTAACTGTTGTTTATTTTTGTTTTTTTTAAATCTGTTTTTATTCCTTTCTGTTTCTGATTTTATCATTCAGTAAGATATCTAAAAATGGTGTAGTTTGGAAAATAACTTGTAACTATTTTTTGTATGTAACTATTTTTCATACCAGTTAACAAAGCTGGTGGTATGACTGGGAGGCCAGTTTTATTGAGTATGTTTTTGTAAAGTAGCACCATCAGTCTAAATGTGCTTAACGGAGGCTAAAAGGGAGACAAACTGGCCCAATGAAACACCATGGGGATACTGAAGAGCTCATTTCCATTTTAGACGTGCATGCCCAGTTTATCACCCTGCCAGTTCTTTCAAACGCTGGCAGTGTTGTAGAATAGTAGTTCTAGCTGTTAATGAATGAATGCAATGCTGATGGCCTAAAGAGGTTAGAAACAGTTGATGTGAGTGGAACACGTATATATCTTCTGATGGGCTTTTCCTGAGGTATATAATAGTAGTGAAGCACAGAGAACATTGTCCCCTTTTTGTTATAATTTAATGTAAACCTAGTAGATTTATTCAGACTGTTTTCTGACTGTGTTGGCAGAAGAAAAAACACACTTTCTGGTTGTTGTGTTCAGTGTCACTCTCTGTGGTTTAAAATATGATGCACATCAGGCCAAATGTTGAAAAATATAATGACCAGGTTTTTGTACTGTGTCATCTGTACTGCCAAACGCTTGTTATTGGGTAGTTGATGTTGCTTTATAGCCTTACATGAACTCCAGATGGCACTGTTGATCACTGTGGGACTTGGGATGAAGCCAGACAGGCAGTATGGATGTGCTTCTAGTGTCTGTCGATTATCGAATGCTGGAGGCTTACCCGGAGTGAACAGAGAGCATTTTATCTAAAAAATAAAACAGGCTGTGAGGATTATTTTATGAATATATCAGTTTTATATGTCCACAGGTAAAACAATTGGTCAGATTTTGAGCAGCCACTCTTTGTTACACAGTATCTCATCCAGCTTTGTCACAGCAGATGTGAGACGCAACAAGTGTGGAGCTTTGTGACTGTCGTAAGCCAAGATTGATTAGCAGTGGTAATGGCAAATGCTCTATGTACTTTCCTAATGGCAAGTGTCTGGAAGAGATGTCAAATAGTTGTTTGTAATATCATTTAATCATTTAAACTGTTTTGTCATGATTCAAGACATGCAGCGGAAAATAGATAGGTACATTTTTTAAGGTAAGAAGGATGCATGTAGCGTACAAGAATAAAATAAAACCTAATGAATCTTTGCTCCTAGTAAAATAGCCTGCTGCTTCTAAAATAACTTGCCAGTAGTATAACATGGTGCAGTGAGATTGGAGGGAAAATGTTTTTTTTTGGTGAAAATGTGAGAAAACAGGAACCATATTATCTTTTTAGAACTGCAATGACATGAAATCAGTGATTGCATCTGCTGCATTATAGTCCAATTTGAAGATTCCTGCTTTGAAGTAATAGCTAGCGCAGTCTGTGGTTATATTTAAATCAGCCTTCTGATGATCACAACCCTATAAACCAACAGACAAACCAAAACAAACATTGTTACGCCAGCCTTAGCAAAAAGAAAGCTTGATGTTGTGCCTTTTTATAGCTTAAAATTGGCTAAGTATTCTGTAATTGGAGTACTTTTATAATATTGAGACATGGGCTATGTTCCATTTTTAAATCTTAGTGAGAAAAAAAACTGGTTATTTATTGCATTTGTCATTCAGGATCACCAATAACCACACATACATTAATTAATTATCACATTGTTATCATGAACAGGATTAGTGTATACCTCCAAATGCACATGAGCACATGCAAACATTCACATATAGAGTTTATAATGGATTGACAGGGACTCCCCAAGTCCCACTGTCAAGTAGATGCACTAATTGGTGTGTGTGTGTGTGGGGGGGGAGCTGTCAGCATGAGTGGAACTAGGCTGTCACAATGTTTTGTGGATCACTGGGCTGTCTGTGCGAGACAAAGAGCGACAGTGTGTGTGTGGGAGTGACAGACAGAGCAGGGGGATGTTTACCTCACACGTCTCATCATCAGAAAGCTTGTGTTTTTGTCAAGTGTTTTTCACAACAATACATACATATTTAAAATGCATGAGAGGTAAAACTGAGCTCTGCATTCACTTCTCTGATATTATAGTGCACTGTTAACAGCACACAGCGTGGCGCTAAATACTGAGTTATAATGCTCTCTGTTTGTACAAATTAAGTTTGTGTCTGCTGCAAGCCTAAAAGTTACATACGCTTTTTAAATAACAACTATATAAATTTAAAAGAATCAACCATCCACCATTTGTAAGAAATAAAACACGCCCTCCACTTGTTTTTGGTCTGGTGTTACCAGTAGCTTGTTTGCAACCTTAGATAAATAATGTTGTGTAGTTGACATTGTTAAGTCAGTTTTCTAACTTGGCTCTTCCCTTCTCTTTTAATGGCATAATCACAAAGTAAAAGAAAGCTGCATGTGGTCCCATTCCACTCGCTCTCAGTCAGGTCACCTAATGATGATGATGTATTTAAAGCAAATGACTCAAGAGAATCTTGGAAAATGAAAGGAAATTAAATGTGAGATTATCCTGCAGTAGCCACAGCGGTTGCCTTTCTGCAAAAGTTGCATCATTCTTTTTGGAAGTTTGTGCTTTTTGAATTTAGTTCTTCAACATCTAGTGACCATCAAAGGAACTGCAGCTGGAGGCAGATGGTGGTGGTTGAACTTGTAATTTTGTCACCAGGTCTTAGTTGAACATTAGCTCCTCCGAGGCACTGACCTGCACACACAGCATGTTACTAAATTAATGCAGGATAAATTGAGTATTAGAGCTCACTGACGCACATGCACAGAGGTGCAGTGGCCACAGGGTGTTGAGGCACTGGGACACTTTATTGACATGACACAGACATCTATATGGAGAGGTGAGGCAAGGTTAGACCTTCACATCCAATTATCATAGATGTATTTTTAGATGATCAGATAATAACAATAATTACAACACTTATAACAACTTGAAGAGAAACTGGTAGTGCCAGTTTAGCCATCTGTACTGAAGAAGAATATGTCAACACACTAGCATGGACAACTTCCAAAGCATACAGTAGGTTTACAGTTGTTAGATTGAAGACATTTTTCATGACCTGAAAACAGTGGCTGTAGTGAAGGTAGGAGAACACATGAATATAGTCTGAATACCTGTGGTTTATGAATGGTAGAGCTGTACATTTCTGTAGTGTAAAACCACAGTGAACAGTACTTAACAGCACCTAACACTTAGTTGGATGGCATTGCTCTCTATAGATAAGCAATTACTCAGAATTCTTATTACTTAATGTAGACATTGATGCAGCAGGGAATAAAGAATTGACTCCTTAGTCAACAATTCAACTGAGAGATAACTAATAATTCACTAATAACATGAATAATTGAAATTAGGGGGCAGCTCTATTGCATACTTTTCATTTTCAGTAAGTGCTTACATCTAAATTACTTATAAATTATTGAATAAGAATAACGTCATACATTAGATATTGTATTCCTAATCAAATATGGACTGTGTGTGTGGTTGGTAGACTTGGAAGAAATAGTTTCATGTATCTTCTAGATAGTACCACAGAGTTTAATACTGCTGCTTTATATGATATCACCCTGTGTAAATCACACCAGAGAAAGTGATATCTCCTGGTTAAATTGATTCTTGCTGGGTTTGTCCTGCTCTGCATCCCTGTTCCTCACACGGTTCCTCCGAGGTTCAGTGTGCTTTTTCTGTTGGTGTACAGTGGTCAGTGACTGATTTTTT